TCGCCTGATGATGATGTCGATATGGAAGCCGACAATTTCAATGTCCGTCGCCCAAGAATGCCTTATTTCCGTCGTATACGCAGAACTGAAACTTAATCGCGCCTTTATGTTAAAGTCATGTTCAAATTATGGATAGACCGAAGCGGTTTTTCGACTATCGAATGGATTTGAAGCTGTAGGAGGGGCGACTCTTCTGTATGTTGAGCATTGCACTTTAAGTACTGATGGGACATGTGACATTCAAAGCTGAAAGAAGAGAGGGAGAGTAACTCCACCGAGAGTCTTATTGCAATTGTGAAACAAGATATTCTAGAAGAGGAGCCACAGAGTGTATTGAATGCCCCTCTCTCACCCTCCATTCCAATTGCTACAAGAACAATTCCTGTTCTACCGACGGAGCTTCCAAATCCTAAGGTCACCACTGCATTGCCGGAAACCGTCACTACATCACTAGAAGACGCCGGGGTATCTGCCGAGGCCTCAATTCCTGTAAAAATGTTCTAGCTTCTGTTTTAGAATCCGCAATTTTTGCTCCATCTCCTGCTCCAACTTCCGCTAAAGCCACTGGTAAGGCTGAATTTCAAATTTCTTAAGCAAATTTTGGGGAGAGATATTGGCCAGATGCTTGTGAGTACCGAGAACGCCTCGCGAGTGTTTTGCATCGGATAATAATAAAGCAAATGATTTTGGTGAAAGCTCATCGAGACGACTTTCTTGCCAAAGCTAACTGGTCGATTCGGTGAAAATACACATTGCGAAATCATGTTGGAACTGCTCTGTCAAGAGTCGAAGCGTGAGATTCGAGCGATTGCGTTTCGTTTGCGCTTACCACTGATTTGAGACGTGACGGTGTGCAGTACTGAAGGTATAATGTAACCTCGCTTCACACTTCGGGGATCCCAGATGATAAAAATTCGCATCAGTGGTGTGTCGCTATCCGACAGAGAGTTTTTGACATGGGGTAAGATCGACTCGTGATATGAGTAGGACCTAATTCTTGTCTTGTATTCTCTCTTCGAGTGTGTAATTGAACTCATTGAAGTGATCACGTTTGGCACAATCCGACGCCTCGTTAATTGTGACAAATACCAAATCAGAGCAATAATCTACTCTTTGGCAATTTGATTAGTTTGAGTATTTTGCTATACCTTTGGTACATTAATTGATCAGCACTGAGTAGTCGCGCTCAGTCTTTTACTGTGCCACAGGTATTGGAGCTGGTTTTAAGCTTGCAACAACTCTTGTGATGAATAGCTCGATAACAACTCAGATTCTCATCTATTTCTATTCGTAAGTGATGCAAACCAGAACAAACAAGAATATAGAAAACAAAATGCCGGCAAGCAGTGACAAAAATGTTCCTTCAGGAGCACAAATAGCTGACATACTATCTGAGGTGCGGGCGGCAGTGAAGACGGAGCGAGGTGTGCATCATGTTGCAATTTAATCTCGAATACTTAGTTGATGCGTGGTTAGCCTTCATCTCGGCTCGAAAAAAAAGTCATTCTGGTCCAATATATCAACACAGTGTGGTTTAGCCGATCTAATTTCGACTATAGAACTTTACAGCTCTGCTTGTTACAATCGCAAATTTCTCTGTGAGCGATGCCAAATGTTTCGGAGGAGCTACAGAAGAGTCGGTTGTCGAGTCTGTTTCATGTAAGCCCCAATTCTGACTTTTTCGAATCTGAACAGACGCTTTGGCCTTTGCTACAATTTGTGCTGTACTCCAAGCAGATGATTATAAACATAAACGCGTATTTTCTCTTGCAGTCAGCATTGATAGTTTGCGTTGCCGTTCATGTCAGCATTTTTTAGCTGAACAAGTTTCCAGTTTTAGGCAAACTTCATTAATAAATGTATCGCGGCTGAAAAAACATGATATTTTAGCTACATGTGAGTTCTATAGATCAGAGCAGAAAAAAATGCTTGTTCACGACAAAGGGCCTCTTGTAATGACATATGCCTTTGGAAAGCTAGTTAAATCTAATCCATTTGTGATATGTATCAATCATGTGTCGTTGCGCACAGCGACGTCGTTACCGCATTTCTCACAGAGAATGGAAGGACATATATCTTGTTGTCGAGTATCTTAAAGGTAAGGCAAAAACCGGAATGGCTTAATGTGGTGGTGATCACGCACTCGCATCGCCATGTGAAGTGTCGTATGTCTAGATGGTGATGTCGTGCGTTGGCGAGGCGATGAATACAGCGGGGAATGTGTTGCGGTGCTGAATACCTTTGACGCAAAGTTATTGTTCTAGCTCACATGCTGCTTTCTCAACGCGCTTAATGACAGGCCTATACCAGTATTCCTTCTTTAAGGAATTGCTGTGTTGCAGCACTGACACATTTCAAAAAGCATTTGAAAGCCACCCCAGCGATTGTTTTCATTGTCACAATCGAGTTCGTAAACTTTTACGAGGGTAATTAATATTAAAAGGCACATTATATAGTGTGACATGGAAGTG